CAGGGACGCCAAAAATATGAAAAACCTCCTTCTCTAAAAACTTTACAACCTCGGCTGACGTGGCTCTCTTCATTGGCTTCAAAAACTCAAACTTAGAAAAATGGTCCAGACAAACAAAAACATAAACATTACCATCACAAGTACGTGGGTAGGGACCCATAAAGTCGACACACAAGCGTTGGAAAGGTCGTTCGGTAAAGTGTTGGTGTCCCATCACTGGTTTATGAAACGTATTTTGAGTCTTGTTACCTTTACATATTTCACAGCCTTTAATAAAAGCTTGGACATCAGTAACCATACCTAGCCAGAATATTTTTCACGGACTCGTGCGAGTGTCTTGTGGATGCTTCCGTGACCTGCAGAAGGTGAACTGTGGGAGGCCTCCACTAACCCTGGTCGCAATTCCGACGGTATCCAAAGTTTCCAGGTCTGGTCCTCTTGAAGCTGGTCCCCCCGGTTAAATTGATTCCGTCTATAAACATACCCGTCCGATATGCGCAAGTCTGGTCGTTGGTCTTTGTTCTCGGTCACAGTCCTTTTCAGTTCCTTGTATTCGTCCGAGTCAAAGCAAGGTGAGTCTAAGGAAACGTCCATAAATCTTTCGTATGTTGTCATTTCTTCCATGTGCATCCGTGATAGCGTGTCAGGCACCACATTTTGCGCCCCCTTCCTGTGTTGTATGTCAAAATCATACCCTTGGAGCTTGAAACTCCACCTTGCCAGTCTACCCGAAAGGTCCTTCTGATTCGTCAGCCATTTTAGGCTGGCATGATCAGTTATGATGGTAAACGGCATACCTGCTATGTAGAGCTTGAACCTTTTCACACTAACCACGGCTGCATAGCACTCCAGCTCGGTTATGCTATAATTTCGCTGTGCCTTATTGAGTTTCGCTGAAATATATGCTATAGGTCCTTCATTGTTGTCATCGTCAAGTTGAAATAGAACCCCACCCACTCCGTCTGTCGATGCGTCGGACTGTATATAAAACCGTCTATTAAAGTCAGGGTGCGTCAGTACGGGTGCCGATATGAGGCTTTGCTTCAATCGGTCAAACGACCTCTTGGCTTCGTCCATCTTAATCTTTTCTTTAGTGAGACAGTCGTGCAGTGGAGCTGCAATAGTCGCGTAATCTTTGATAAATCGACGGTACCAGCCTGACATACCTAGGAACCGTCGGAGCTGCTTTGGAGTTTTGGGCTCCGGGAAATCCCTCACAGCTGCAAACTTGTTTGCATCCGTACGTATACAACCATCCCCCACCACATAACCAAGATAACGAACCTCCTTATAACAAAATTTGCTTTTCTCAACATTAATTGTTAATTAAGCTTCACGTAAACATCGAGCGACCTTTTCCAAAAAACACAAATGGGACGAAAAATCTACAGAACATACCAACAAGTCAGCTAAATACACAAAAACACTTTCACGCAACGAAGTCGTCTTCTCTCTAGATTTTTTTTAAGAGGAATCTGCCAGAAAGCGTCCTTCAAATCTATAGCCGATATGTAGCGAGTGTTCTGAAGGCGGCTAAGGATTCCATCTACGTGTGGCAACGGGTATGCATCTTTTATAGTTCTTTCATTTACTTTCCTGGCGTCAAGGTAGAGACCGTTCTTTGTGCCTTTTATGACAAGAGAGACGGGTGAGTTCCAGCTACTATTGCTTTCCTCTATTACCCCCATACTGAGCATCCTATCAAGCTCTTGATATATCAATTTCTGTATTGCAAGCGAAATCGGATAGTGGCGCTGCTTTATTGGAAGATTTTCGTTTTCTACCTCAATTATATGCTCCTCCATATCTGTCTTCCCTAATCCTAAAACGGCAAATGACGGAAACTGTGTTTTGACTTTTTCTAGAGCGGCACTTTCTTCGGTTGTCAAAGTCTGTTTGACGGCCACAAAGGACCCCCCTACTCCCCTACTAACGACAGCCATGTCGAAGGCCTTCCAGAAGTCTATCCCCAAATATACTTGTTTTTGTAAACCGGGCACTATGAGGAATTCTAAGTCCCTCGTCATACCATCCCACATCACTGAGAGCGTGATTACACCGGTTACTGCAGTTTCACCACCGTTCGCTGTTCGTATGTTCTGGTTCGTTATTGGAAGAACGCGGTCTTCCTTGCCTTCTAGTAATTTTCCTGCATCTTTCCCTATACAACTTGCTCCCGCTGCTGAATCTAATAATGCTAACACTTCTACGCCTCCGATCTTTGTCTGAGCAAAAACCCTATTATCCCCCTTTAAGGTTACAATCGTTGAAACGATTTTATTCAAAATTCTCTTATACGTCTGTTTCTTCTCTCATTTTTTCAATCTTTTTGAAATTCCTACTTTGCCTTTTGTTTTCAACTGATTCGCAAAAAATTCTCCCCGAGCTGCTTCATATTCAACTTTGCGTTGGTGTAGGCTCTTCTCCAGCTCACTCTTAACTAAATTTTCTTTCTTTTCAGTGTCAATTATATCCCTTTTTAGCAATTTAATTGTTTCCTTTTTGGTTGTTGTTTCCGACAGGGTGGGTGTATGATGTATTTTGGAACGAATTTCCGTCTCCCCTTCTCAAATTTGGTTTGGAGACACCCCGGTTTCGGCGTTGTGCCATCTTCAGTGTCATTTTTCGTTCTGCATAATTTTTGTTGGTTGCTCGTATTTAATTGTTGTTGGCTGGTTTCCGGGTTCTTCCCCTGGTTGGAGTTCCCGGAAATCTCCGCCAGCATCCTGTTTCCCTTTTCAGGTTTGTACACACTAAACGACGTGTCTCCACCACATGCAAAGCACACCATGTTGTGAAAAGACGACTTGCACCCAGCTTGCTTCGCTGCATCACTCGGATTCCTCACATAATAATCCACAGGCATCCCACATGAAAAACACAACATCAAATGAAATGGGGACGGACAAAACGAACTAATGGTGGACTGAGGGCTTTTCGTAGGCTGAGTTTCTGGTTTATTATATTGGGGACCGCTTGCCCTAGGATTCTTGTTGCTGCCCTGGCCATATGACTTAGTCTTTAGTGGATTGCTAATAGCTTCTATAGGTCTACGATCTACGCTTTCATCTAATGAACGTTCCTCACAGTACAAAAGTTCGCTGATATTCTTGGATCGACTACGGTTTTCCTTTATTACTCTCTCGGCGCGCTTACATTCGGCTTTCAACTCGGCGAGTGTATTCACCTGGGAGGCAAAAGTAAGGTTCGTCAGGTAAGGCTTTAAGTTTCCCTTCAGGATCCCAACTAATTCTTTCTCTGGAATTTTCTTCCTCAGCCTAAACCTAAGATTGTGGACCTCCCCATAAAACTCATCGAAGCTCTCCGCTGGCATCTGCTTTCTTTTCATAATCTCCCGGATTATCTCGTAATCGGACTCCGCAGTATTGAAATGGGCTAACAACTCCGCCTTTAGTTCTATATATCCGAAATTTGGATCATCGGCATGGTCTTCGAGGACCTGCCAGTTCCACTTCAATGCGGAGAACGTTACGAGACAATGGAAGTCAGTGAAGAGCTGATAATGGGAGAGGTCGTGCTGCGTTCGCATCTTTTCGATCCTGAAGAGGAAACTCTCCACCGTCATACCCTACCCAGTGCCGTCGAACTTGATGTGCCATTTGTCCAAGTCGATTTTCTTCCACTTCGGTGGCACCTGTGCGCTCTGATCGACTTGTGTGACGCTGTCGTTGCCTCGGCGGTTGAGTGCTTCGTGACCCCTGATTTCCGGCGTCGATGCCACTGCGGAACGATGATCCAGGGCTTGGGCGGATGTCTCTATGTCAGCTACCCTATTGCTGAGGTCCGACATATTTGTCCTCATGTTCCGAACTTCGACCATACACTGCGCCATCATGTCGTGTTGTTGCGCCATCATCGCCATCATGCGGCTCAGTTGCTCGACACTGGTTGCAGTTGAAGCCGGTTCACTCCCTGGAGCTTTCGGACACTCGGCACCAGAGCCTGCTGACTGCGCACTTGTCCCTGGATCGTCGAGCCCAGATGCACCGGGTTGGTCAGATGCAGACATTTCTAAAAATTCGTCTACCTTTCGTGAAAAACTAGAAATCCAATTTGCCTCTGTGCCTTGTGGTTCTTGTGGGTTCGATTCGCTGTGACGGTGAGTTGAATCAGTTCTGAAGATGCGTGATGAACACCTGTTCAAATAATCCGTTGGAACGAAGTCCACCGGATGTTGTATTCCCGTGTCAACCTGATTAAATATCGATCCCACCACTTGGTTCTCAAGCGCCCTAGTGATGCTACGTGTTACTGGCCTATCAGAATTCAAAAGCCCCAATCCACCAGCTACTATTTCTTCACGCTCTCTCTCCATACACTCAGAATCACTCAAAAAAAAGGAAGTATTCCACACGCTTAGCTTCGGCTTACGAGGAACCTGGTTAGTTAAAATTCCTTTCAAACACTCAAACTTTTCGGACTAATTTACTCCCTTCGTAAAAAAAACTTCAACAATGTTCGCTAATCCTTCTAACCTAACTCCAATTTTTAACTACAAATATATTATTTCACGCTTAAAATTAAGGCACGTATGCAATACAAAGGTTCACCAGCGTTTAGTTCAAGTTGTGAATGCCTCATATCGCAGATAAACCAGACTTCTCTTACCAGTAATACGGCAAAAGAGTAAAAAAATCCAATAACAGAATATACAAAAATACAATTCAATTTTACTTAGCAATATAAGGAAAATGATTCTAGAACGAGATTTAAAATAAGGGGAAAAATTGTAAATAACGTTTTTTTTTTTTTTAGTTCAATGTATATATATACGGTAAAAAAAATAACAATTTTATAAGAAAGGATCCTTCGTTTCTTTCTTTTCAACGTGGTAGCGTTCTGCAAATCTTGCAACTCCTAGTACCTGTATAATAGTTTATGATTAGTGGCATGTATATTTATAATGTTTACGTTTGTGTATAAGAAAGGTTTTCTTTTAGCTTGGTGTGGTAGTGGTGTTGCACCTCGGCGGGGTCATCATGGGTGCGTCACATGCATATACTAGGCTTAGGTGTCTTTAGCTGACTCACCTTCTGTTAGCGGGATCTGCAGCGGGAATTAATGGTCCCGGTTAAACGGGGCACAACTTGTTTTATTCCTTTTTTGCCACTGATTAAAATAAACTTCTTTTCACTTAAAAGACACTTTCCCATTTGAATCTTCCTGTTAGCCGACCAAGCGATCGTGCCCCGGTGCATTTTCGAGTGGAACATTTCTCAAACTTTCACTCAGATCCACGTATACAAACACATAATTCATATCTACACCTTAGCCCAGCAAGAACGACCTAACGCATTCTCTACATTGTCAATAAAAACCAACACATTTGCATATTAGTCATATCCATATGCTATTATTTTCGTTATATAACGCGTTATTAATCGCATAATAATATTTGATTGAAAAGAGAGAAATATATATAGAATAATATAATAGCGAATTCCATGTAAAAGAAAGAAAGAACTGCTCACACGTGAAACGATTATGCGTTAGATTTCTCCAAGAGCCCTATGAAAAATGATGGAAAGTTTTTGAATTTCTCACACAAACTATTTGTAGTACTAGGCGTATATAACGCATTAGTTAACAGATAGGGTTCTTACTGGGAGCATATGCACCTAACACACGTACGCGTACGCACACAGTCATTCCGGGCAGTGCGCCTTCTCACACATGTTGCGCAACATGTTTGGGTACATCGTTGAGGTACAAACGGGCATTTGTGTGGGGGGTATATTTGAGTGGGGATATTTGTTGCAGCAGTTACTTGCCACCTACAACATAGGCTGTCGTTACAACACCCATATATTTAATAAACCTTTTTTCAGTTGAACATTACCAGCCGCACTCAGAACCGTTTAATGATTACTTAAGGTGTCCCTCAGCAACGATTTGAAAAAATTTCCGCTCAGAGTCTGTTAATGATGCGTTAACGGCATTAAATGAACGTTAAAGTTAAGTAAACAAAAACCTTTACTTAAATTTTTAACGAATGATTCTGAAGTTTTTTGTTTGTTTCCAATAAATTTAAATTTCGATAACGTTGCTGTAACAGTGGCAATGGCCCAGTGAGCAGAGCACATTCGTGCCATTTTATTGCTTAAAAAATTAATATTTTTTATTTTATTTTACGTTTAGAAACTTTTTTGATTCATCTCTTTTCTTTTACTTTCAGTTTCTCAAATTTATAGTTTTTCCTGTTTTAAAAAATCTTTTTTTCATTTCGTTTAGTTTTTAGAAAACTTACTGCTAAACGATAAATATAATAACGCTATTAGCGCATCTTTCAATAAGTCATTCGAAATACCGAAAAGGAGATAGTTGCCGTAATATAAAGACTTTTGTCTCTCGAAAGACTGAGGTGAGTTGAAAGACAGATGCCAGAATTTGCCTCTTATTGGTTTCGTTTGTCTTTTAGCAAACAGTTTTTAGAAATTTAACTTAAATAAAACAAAAATTTTCCTTTTTAAAGCAATAAAATTTATAAATCAAAAGAAAATTAGATCAAAAAAGCAAAAAAAAAATTCAATAAGAACAGTTTATAAAAATTGAACAAGAAAAATAAACTAATTAAAAAAGGAAAAATAAAATTTTCCTGCCCTAGGACTCGAACTCGGATTTCTCTGCTCTGCTCACTCAGCCATTGCGACTATTCAGTCAGTTCGCGCAAAATAACTGAACGAAAAAAGTGAGTGATGCCACAGAAACAAAGGGCCGCAACTGGGGCCATACTTAGATTTTTCATTTCCTAATTTTTAACTCTGTGAGGAAACATTAATTAACAGATTTAACGATCCTTAGTTAAGTGCCCGTTAGAGCTAATTTAAGAAACGTTTCTGAGTGCGGCTGTAAGCTGTTTAAAAAACTCCTCCCATTTTGAAATTTGTTGCACAGTGATATTAATGTTAAATTATATTTTTTTCTAAAGAAACCTCATATAGCATTTTCAGTTTAAATGAAACCATTTTCAAACTAAGCGAAATCTTTCTCAAATTAAATGAAACCTTTTTCGGATTAAGCGAAACCTTTTTCAAATTAAATGACACTATTTCCAGATTCAGTAAAACTATTCAAATTGAATGAAACTTTCTTTTTGATTTACTAGGAATTCGCTGTTATCCGTTGTTGGTCTTTACGGTCAAGGCACATTGAATAAGTAATAGCAGTAAAGCATCTGCTTTGTTTTTTTTTTGGACTTTGAACCGCCAAAGTTTGTTTATTTTTTCATATATGGGTCATTTCCAAACAACGTGCTATTTTTTGTCCCCCCTTTTATAATTTTGTATGGTGGTAAAAACGAAAAATCAAAAACAACTTTTATAATTTTGTATGGTGGTAAAAACGAAAAATCAAAAACAGCATTATACGATTTAAATAATAGGCCACCAACAAAGCTATTTTTTTATTATTGTAAGCCGTTTTGTGTTCTTTTGCGTACGGTATTTCTTTGATATATTTTACCTAGCCCATATAAAAATATTTGTCCCCGCTCAGGTTAAGTTTAAACAAAGAAACAATGAAAAAGGGCGAAACTGTTTGGGAATGACTAAACCTTAACTTTTATTGTTTTGTTTTATTTTTGCCTGAAACATTTTATTAGCATAAGCCTGACTTTCTATTATAACATTGTCCCTCCGAACTTTCAGAACAGCAGGGTATAACTCGGAGTTTACCGGTTAAACTTATCAGTTTGCTTGCGCAACAGTAGATTAGGCTTTGACTCAGAGATAAAGCCTTAGGCCAAATTCACAATGCGTAGTTAACTCAGCATCGACAGTTAAATACAGATTTTCTGCACAAAAATCTGTAGTTAACTGCCGATTCTGAGTTAACTACGTACTGTGCATTTGGGCCTTAAATAATTTACCCAAAAAATTTTGAGGGTTAAGTGGTTTAAATAAAATTTTTTAATTGCGAGATATTTAAAAAAAACAAAAAATAAAAGTATTGCTACATTCTAAGGCCCAATTTCAGATAGCCTATTTAAGTAGAGATTCAGATCATACATTTAAATGGCCAATATTGGCTATTTAAATATGAGATATACAACCCTGTGTTTGTACCAAACAACCAAGATTGATTGGTTGGTTGTTTAATCAATCCCACCAAAAAACAATCGGCCGTTCAGCACAAAATTTAAACAAACAAGCAAATGCAACAACAATTTAAAGAAACAGCAGCAGTGCTGCCAATAGTTTGGCATATATAAACAAAGTTGATCTGAAACTCAACGAAGGTTAAACTTAAGAGCCATTTAAATATTTATTTGAAATTGGCCCTAACGATGCCCTAACGATGATGAGGAAATCATTAATTATGTTAACTCAGATTTCTTTAATAGATCAGCAGCAGAACGAAGTGATCATTGAATGCTCTGCAAGATAAATAATTCCACAGGAGATTTCAATACAAATTATCAACAGTTCTTCCAAAATCCTTTGTTTGTGGTGGCTAGGACTTACCCTAGATTTTTAGGAATTTTTTTTGTTGAAGGTGTCGCTCATTTTCTCCATATAAAATAATGTTTGATAATTTTTTTATATGGAAAAAATGTGCGACACCTTCAACAAAAAAATTTCCCAAAAATCAATGGTAAGTTCTAGCTTCCTCATACTTGCACTTTATTATAAAATATTATAAAATATATAATTTATATATCTCTATATTAATAAAAATATTGTGTTCGTATGTCACGGTCGTCAAAACTCGAGAACGGCTGAACCGATTTGAATAATTTTTTTTTGTATTGTTCGGTATAATACCAGAACCAATGATATCGCAAAAAATTGGAGGGTTGCCACCTATTTGAAAATTTTTAAACCCAATTATATTGATAAAATAAATAAATTGTTACAATATGAGTATCAAATTAAAGAGTTTTTAGAAAGATAACTGCTGGAAATATTTTTGACGAGGGTTGCCACCTATTTGAAAATTTTAACTCAGACAAATTGATAAAATAAATGAATTATTGCCATGTGGGTGTAAAACTATAGAGTTTTAAGAAGGCGTACAGCCGAAAATATCTTTGAAGAGTGTTGCCACCTGTTTGAAAATTTAACTAAAGTACATCGATAAAATAAATGAAATATTACATTATGGGTATCAAATTAAAGAGGTTTAAGAAAGATATCTGTTGGAAATATTTTGGAGAAGGGTTGCCACCAATTTTTAAATTTTAACTCAGTTAAATTGATAAAGTAAATTAAATATTGCTATGTGGATATCAAACTAAAGAATTTTAAGAAGGCTTACAGTCGAAAATATTTTAAAGGAGGGTTGCCACCTGTTAAAAAATTAAGCG